GTGAGCACAGAACATTTTTTAAGTACCATTAAATACTACTGTTCCCAGAGACACTCTTTCCAATATGTTGGGTTAAGGCACTGGCTATCTGTCTGTAATATTATGGATTGTGGAATTGCTGTTAATATCCTTAGGTGTGCAGTTATATAGTGATTAAGTAGAACACAACTTTTATTCTTAGGCGTTGCATGATATATATAGAAAGGTGTAATGTCATGATGTCTATAATTTACCATCAAATACTACAGCAAATATATATCAGAAATATACAGAAGCAAACCAAATATGACAACATATTAATAATAACTGAATCTAGAGAAGGCATACCAGCATTTATTGTACTATTCTTTTATTTTTTTCTAAGTGGACGGTGGCCTTTTTCATTGTTACTTTCAAATTTATCATGAATTTGGGGCAGAAAAAGCAGACTGTAACATGTCTGCTTAAGGACATGTTACATGTTTCTTTTATAAAAGAAAAAACATTACAGCTCTCCCTGATTCTTCAAACGCTTTATTCTCTTAATGTCCACATTCATCAGTTCTGGAGATTTCTTTCTCACCTTAGTTTTCAGAAATGAGTTCTGTTTTTAGGAATGAAAGTTTATGTTACCAGATTTTATCCATAATTATTCATTTAAGAAGTAAAAGGTAATGGGCAGTTTTTACAAATTCTTTACATTCATAGGGTCATCCTCTCACGTGAATTTACCTAATATCACTATTGATAAAAATAATGCTTATAAACACATTCTCTTCTATAGGTTTTGTTTTTTATTAACACTTCATCCTTAACAAAAGTACTATTAGGTAGATATTCTAGTTACCACTTTAAAATTGAGGCACAGAAGGGAGGAGTGTTTTGCCAATACCACACAGGCAGAGGTGGAATTATGAGAATTATAGTAAAGATACGCTATGGCTAACATCTTTCCCCACATCTGTTACATTAACAGAATTATTTTCTGTTATAATGCTATATAAAGTGTGGTCCATGTACTGATGCTGGTCCACAGATCGTTTGCTTCTGGTCTGCCATGAGTTAAGGTACAAACACTGAGAGCAAACATTTAGAGACATTTACATAAACAAGACAGAACTAATTTATGTCTGTTAAATCCAGTCATAAAAAATTGGGACTTTCATTTTGTATGTCTGTTTGTCTTTCAATTTCATTTTTCATGGTTACCCAATTTCATTGTTCTTATCAAAGTATTGGTCAACAACAGTTTTTTTGGGGGGAGGACATCCTTCATCTTGGTTTGCGTGCACTGTACCAGTATCAGTCTGCAAAAGTTAACCGAGACTGGGTAATGCTACAATTTTTCAAACTCTTTAAATCTAGATAGATAGATAGGTAGATAGACAGACAGACAGATAGATAGATAGTGTAAAACTATGTCTCAGTTCAGTTTTGAGCATGAAGCAAAAGGGATTCCCACATGTTCCCTAACAAGCAAAATTTTTCTTAAATCAAATATGTATTTACTGTTGTTATAAAAGGCATTTTCTAAAGGCCACTGTATCCTTTTTACATTATGCATAGGGTTTCCTCACTAATATGATTTCTCTGATGTAAAGTGAGTTGATCACTACGAATAAAGGCTTTCCCACATTCTTTACATTTATAGGGTTTCTCACCAGTATGAATTCTGTGATGTCGTGTGAGTTCTGAATTAACACTAAAGGCTTTCCCACATTCTTTACACTTATAGGGTTTCTCACCAGTATGAACTGTGTGATGTCGAGTAAGTTCTGCTTGAAGACGAAAGGCATTCCCACATTCTTTACACCCATAAGGCTTCTCACCAGTGTGAAGTCTAAAATGTTGAGTGAGATGATACCGGCGACTAAAAGTCTTTCCACATTCCTTACATTCATAGGGAATCTCACCAGTGTGAATTCTTTGATGTAAGGTAAGTTGATAACTACAAATAAAAGCATCCCCACATTCATTACATGTGTAGGGTTTCTCTCCGGTATGGATTCTGTGATGTTGGGTAAGGTGATAGTGACGACTAAAGGCCTTCCCACATTCTTTACATTCATAGGGTTTCTCACCAGTATGAATTCTGTGGTGTTGAGTAAGATGATTGCTACGAATAAAGGCTTTCCCACATTCCTGACATTTGTAGGGTTTTTCACCAGTATGAATTCTGTGATGCTGAGTAACTTCTGTTTGAAAGCGAAAGGCCTTTCCACATTCTTTACATACATAGGGTTTTTCACCAGTATGAACTTTATAATGTTGAGTGAGATTGTAGCGACGACTAAAAGTCTTCCCACACTCCTTGCATTCATAGGTATTCTCACTGTTGTGAATTCGCTGGTGTGAAATAAGTTGATTGCTACGAATAAAGGCCTTCCCACATTCCTTACATTCATAGGGTTTCTCACAAGTATGAATCCTGTGATGTCGAGTCAGTTCTGCCTGAAGACGAAAGGCCTTCCCGCATTCTTTACATCCGTAGGGTTTCTCACCAGTGTGAATTCTGTAATGTTGGGTAAGGTGATACCGACTACTGAAGGTTTTCCCACATTCCTTGCATTCATAGGGAATCTCACCGGTATGAGCTCTTAGATGTAAAGTAAGTTGATAGCCACAAATAAAGGCCTTCCCACATTCCTTACAATCGTAGGGTTTCTCCCCAGTATGAATTCTACAATGCCGAGTCAGTTCTGTTTGGAGACGAAAGGCTTTTCCACATTCCTTACATTCATAGGGTTTCTCACCAGTATGAATCCTATGATGTCGAGTAAGTTCCGCATGAAAACTAAAGGACTTACCACATTCTTTACATTCATAGGGTTTGTCACCAGTATGAATTTTCTGATGATGAACAAGGTATGAGCCATGACTGAAGGCCTTCCCACACTCATTACATTTATAGGGTTTTACACCAGTATGAATCTTCTGATGTTGACTAATATGTCGTTGTACCCTAAAGGTCTTTCCACAAATCTTACATTCATAAGGCCTCTCACCTGTATGAATTCTCTGATGTTCAGTAAGTTGATAATGAAGTCTAAAGGCCTTCCCACATTCTTTACATTCATAAGGCCTCTCCCCAGCATGAATTGTCTGATGTACTCTAAGGTCTCGAACACGACTAAAGGCCTTCCCACATTCTTTACACTCATAGGGTTTCACACCAGAATGTATTCTCTGATGTTCAGTAAGGTGGTAATGAAGTCTAAAGGTCTTCCCACAATCGTTACATTCATAGGGTCTCTCTCCACCATGAATTGTCTGATGTACTCGAAGGTCCCCCACACGACAAAAGGCCTTCCCACATTCCTGACATTTATAGGGTCTCTCACCGGTATGAATTCTCAGATGTTGAATAAGGTATGACTGTTGTCTAAAAGCCCTGCAACATTCCTTACATTCGTATGATTTCTCTCTAGCATGAATCTTCTGATGTAGTGGAAGAGATGTATGTTTTTGGATTATCATTTGACTAACACATTTCATTTGATGTCCCTTTTGTCTCTCCAACTCATGTTTACACTGCAAATCACTTCTGAAAATGGTGTCCTCATGGGTGTAAGTTTTACTTTTGTCCATTGTCTGCAACTGAGATAAATATAGTTCACAAATATCCTTTTCTGGAAATAACTCCTTGGTGACATACTTAGACTCCAAGTCTGAAAAAAAAGCAAAAAGGAACAAATGCTGTGATGGGATTTTTCTGTATTGAAGGTGGAATAAGGGATTGCATCTCATAGTTGAAATGAAAGGCAAACTAAAACAACACACATTAGAAGTAAAGGTTCAGAACAGGGTTCGGCAAACTTTTTTCGGTAAAGGGCCAGAGACTAAAAACTGTAGCCTTCGTAGGGCACATGGTGTTTGTTACAATTACTCAGCTATGCTGTTACAGCTCAAAGGCAGTCACAGACAAAATGTAATTGAATAAGTGTAGCTATGTTGTAATACCACTTTATTTATGGACACAAATTTGAATTTCACAAAATTTTTATGTGTCACAAAATATTCGTTTGATTTTTTTTTTTTGATCCAGTAAAATGTAAAAACTGGTTTTAGCCCCTGAGCCATACAAAAGCAGATTGTGAGCTGTTTGGCCCATGGGCCTTAGTTTGCCTGAATCTGACTGAGAAAACGCTAGATTACTGTAGAGCAATTTGAAATAAGGCATAAGACTTCAGAAAATAATATGACTCTAAAAGAAGATAAAATAAGTGATTAGCGGAACAAGTTAAATCAGTGGTCCTCCTACTTAGTGTGGATGTAGGCGAGTTCCTTACATATACTGCTCTTCAGGCACTGACCCAGACCAACAGAATCAAAACCTATAGGATCAAGTCCTGAATGTCTGCATTTTTAATCTTTCTCATAAGATGATTTTGATGCAGACCATTTTGAGAATCTGTACTTAATTCTTTTTCCAAAGGTTTCTCTTTACTCTTAGAATAAAATTCAAACATATCAGCACAGATAAACAAAGTATCACATATTACTTTACTTATCTGTACTACCTAGCTCCCTTCCTACAATATCAACACCTCCGTGACAATAGAAAAACCTGTATCAATAGTGCCTGGACTTGAGCACAGTGCTGGTTTCAAGTAAATAGGAAATAAGTGTTGAATAACATAATCATAGGCAATGGAGAAGTGAACAGAGGTGTAACTATAAAAGAGGACTTGGAAACATAGGTAAAATGGTTTCAATGGGGAAGAAAGAAGGCAGTTCCCTCTTTGAAATGGGAGGGAAACAGAAGAGAAACAAGGAGCATGGCGGATGGAGGTAAAGATGAAGTGCCTTTGGGAGGTCATGTCAGAGGATATTAATGTTTTCCCAGATTTCAGGCCTTCTCTCCACAGGCCTTGGACTTTTGAAAGGAGCTTTCCAAACATCTCAGGGGCGTGCCTCTCCCTGACCCAGGGGGCTATAATGTGTGACGACATCCCCCTCGCCTGATTTGCCATCACTCACCTGTGTACCAACTTCTCGTTCCTTCTCTCATTACCATCCAGGGCTCTTTCTCTTGCTCCAATAAAGTAATCACGTCTGGCTTAGGAGTGGAACATCCTACTCACAGGAAAGAAATGTCACAGGATTTAGGACAAACAAAGAAAACGTAAGTTCAAAAATGACTTAACCTAGAATTGGTTACATTTATAGTAAACTGTAGATCTGAATTGTATATTTTAAAATGAAAAAGGTCATTGAAGAATATTGACATTTAGATGGACTCATGATCAGAGGACTAAAGAGGCCAGATAGGGGAGGGAAAAGGTCTGCTCTGCGTCTAAAGACAGTATAGAAAGAGGTTGAGAACACAGACCTTGGAGCCCCATGACCTGGGTTCAAGTCTTCTGTCACCCACCAGCTGTTACTCCTTCCATGTGTTATGCTTTTATCAAATGTAAATACTACCTACTTCATAGGGCATTTGTGAGAATTACGTGAATTAATATATGTAAGGGCTTACAAGGATGCCTAACACGCAGTATTATTTTGGTGGTTGTTCTCATTAGTTTATTAAAAGAAAAATACTGTTTCCTAAAATACTTCCAACTTCTTCCTTAGAATTCTTTCAAAAGAAAATGCAAAATTCAGACTAGAATTTTCAACCACAAAGTAGGTTAAAGAGACTATGTCTCTTTTAAGGATGGGATGTGTTTGCTTGAGTTTTAAATGGATGTTGTTAACCCAGTCCACCACTATATAAACTGTAGAGGCTCATTTGATGATCGAAAAATGCAGAACCCTGAGACTAGCTAATCTGTCTGCAGAAGGGCCAGACATGAACACAGAGCAGCTATAGGAATTCTGAGCATACACATTGTATGAAACCTGGCTTCTCTGAAAATGTTGTAGAGTGGGAATCATTTAGAAAAAGAGACAAACCTAAGCAAAAAAAAAAAAAAAACAAGAAGAAGAAGAAAAGAAAAAGAGACAACTGTAGGAAGGGCCAGAGAGAGGAGTGAAGGTCACTGAAGGATGGGGAAGATGGTGCTTAACACATGGGCCCATTTCCAACCCAATAATGTTGGAACCATTTCTTTCAAAATAGAGGGCAGACATTCAGCTTGTATTTTAAAAGACGTTCAGCTAGAGCTCTGAAATTCAACAATGGAGAAAACTGATATTCCAAAAAACAGATGTAACTTACCTGCACAGATACCCTTACCTAATGAGACCAAGTTGCTATAGTTCTCCAACATCACATCCCTGTACAGAGTCCTCTGATCAGGGTCCAGGCACTCCCACTCCTCCTGGGAGAGGTCTATGGCCACATCCCTGAATGCCAAGGACATCTGAAATGACAGACCCATGTATTGTAAACATTGTTTTAAATGTATTTTTAAGATGGAAAGCCACTTTGCAGGAAAGAGGCAATAATACAGCAAGCAGTAAACTGGGGTTCAAGCTCGTGACATGCAGGGAAGAGTAAGAAAATCAGTTATTTCTAAAGTGGAGTGCTATCTGCTTTTAAAGGATACTCTTGGTATGAACAAAAGGTCCTGTATACCATGGGATAACATGGTTCTGGGAATGAATAAAGTAGTTTTCAAAGTTTCCCAGTGAAATTAACTCAGATAAATAGGCACATTGCCTATCACGTGCCTGCATTTTAAGCACTGAATAAACATGAGTTCCATTCTCTTCTCCCTTCAAGAAACTTTTTTTAAAAAGAAGTAATGCATTGTTTTTCCCCGAAAGCACTCTAAAATCTGTGGCCTAGAAAGTAGGACTTGACTGACATTTGATTTCAACAAAATTCAGGTTTATCATTATGTAATGTCATAAGCATTTTCCCTGCTTAACAAATGACACACAGCATTGTAAAATGACTATTACTAAATAAGACAATGTTAAAAACAAAAACAAATGACAAAACCTTTAGTTAATTTATTTACTATCTGGCTAATCATCTATCTTGTGATTATGTCAGACGAATCTTTCTGTCACATGTAGGCATTTAGGTTGTACAAAGTGTGTGAGAGCTTCCCTAAACCCGTTAGCCTCTCTTCATTTCCCGCTCGGGATCTAGAGGGTTCTCCTATCTGCTGTCACCACCATCCCCCAGGATGCTTGTCTTGACCCGGAGCTGGAGGATGCTGATGAAGATGTCACCAGAGACCAGCACAACCTCTTCACAAAAGTGACCTTTGTCTTGTTGTTCATTCCTCTGGGTACCCCTGGATAGGTCCCTGAAATCCCCACAAGCAGGCCCTCAATCACACTCCAATCTAGTCCTATAAGCCTCTCAAGGAATGAGATTTCACACATGCAGAACTCTCAACACGAAATTCCATCTTATCAACCTGCAAAAGTCTCAAGTCTAATGGGACTGTCATCTCTTTCATGGAATCATGACTCTAACGAGGGAAATTCAAGTATTTCATTCAAGCAACTTCACCCATCACAGCTCCATCAATGCTCCTGAGAGAGACTGAGTACTTGGAGAGGTGATGAATTAGTGAACACAGGAAGAGACAAGAGAGGCAAACGAGGAGAAGACTAGATTGTGTGACACCATCCTTCACTGTGATTGGAGTAACTAGCGAGCAAGCAGCTGCAGCAATAGGGTTGTCTTAGGAAGAAGTCTCAGGATAATAAAAATGATCACAAAGGGGTGGAGAGGATATAGCTCAGTGGTACAGCGCATGCTTGGTAAGCACAAGGTCTTGGGTTCAATCCCCAGTACCTCCATTAAATAAACAAACAAACAAACAAACCTAATTACCTTTCCCCTGCTCCCTCCCCAAAAAAGAAAATGATCACATGAATTCAAAACCACATTTCAAGGAGGAGAAATGTGAACTTACATAGGCCATGGTTTTAGCCCTGCAAGACCTTGTTAGTCCTCTTTGGGCTCTCTCCACTGGAAAAGCACAGAGTACAGAGAAGCCAGGGCTGAGGGAGGAACAAGAGACTTTGTGACCAGGTGTGTCTCAGAAATCCCCAAATGACTTAAGTTAATATCATCCTGTTTTGCCTTCTTTCTACTTCCATCCCCACAGTGCCCCACATACAAATCAGGAGAGACAAGAGGGAGTTTGGATGAAGCCAAGTCCTCACTATACCACAGGGAACCACCTGCACCAGTGTAGACACAGGCCTTTTTGTGCAGAGGCCTCCTGCATGCAGCCAGGCCAGGCACTCTAGCAGAAGGGTCTCTAGTTCACCCAAATTTCTGATGATGTTGATCTGCAACTGTCCCATTAGTCTCACTTTGAGTCTAACATAATTAGGATAAAAACTGTAAGATAAGAAGTTGTGCAGTCCAGTAATGATAGCCAACAGCCACACTTGGCTATTTAAATCAAATCAAATTTTAAATGAAATAAAATTAAAAGTTCAGTTCAGTTCAGTTCCTCTGTTGCACCAGCCACATTTCAGTTGCTGATGTGGCTAGTAGTTACCATTTTGGAGAATGTAGATACAGAACATACCCATCATCACAGAAAGTTCTACTGGACAGAGCTGGTATGAAGCATACAGCATAAAATCCATTTATCGCCACGGAGGTCCCCTGAGTTCAGAATAATTTGGTCAAAAACTGAGAGATAGCTAGAGAAATAACATCTCCTTCCTATGAACTCCCAAGGCATGTGACCTGAATTTCCCCAGATGGCTTTATTACCTCCTATCTCATGCTTATTCAGTCTATTCTGATTTTATATTATGTGCTGTATTACAAGAAACTTAAGGGCAGTAACAATGCTTTCAGTGCTTGTATTCCTCTAGTTACTATCACAAGATTCAGCATACTATGAGCCTTTATGTCTGATCTTTGACTAAAATTCCATTTTTAGGCAGTTTTTTCTTAGGAAATGGCTATAAATGCACATTAAGATACATGCACAAGATGTTAGAATAACCAACTGAGGTTATATTTCTAACAGAACTACAGCTACCAGAGGCAACAGGTTAAATAAGTCTAGTCAGTTGTGATGGCACTCTAAGGCCTTATTAATACAGATTATACTGGTCCATATTTATTGTTGGAGAAAGACAATCATGATGAATTACTTATTGATATAGGCAAATTAAAGAAGTCTCTAAAACTATGGGAGGGATTATAATGTTATTAATAACACAGACTCTGTTGTCAGACTTGTAGAATGTGAATCTTTGACAGCTACTAACTTTTCAGTTAGTTTATTGATTGATAAACAAAGGGTAAAAATAGCACCTATCTCCTACAGCCGTCATGAAGATTGGGATAGTACATATATACCACTTAATGACATATAATTACTAAATTATATAGTATTAAATTAGATAGTATTAAAGGACATGTAATGTCCTATATTTTAATAAGAATCACATATTATTAGATAAAATTATTTTCTATTTTCTTTTTTATGGTAAAATTTGAGTCTCAAACTCACTCTTCTTTATAAGGACATCTTAAATATTTTACAGCCAATTTTGGAAATGCAAATATTTTTAACAATATTAGCCAAACAATTCTTAGAAAGCTAACCAAGAAATCACTCATTGTCCCTGCAGCTACCTAAGACGAGACACCATTCTTCAACATAAAACTAACAAAAAGAACCTAATAATGCCTTAAATGGAGAACTTTAATAAGAGATTCAATCTCATTCTCCTGTCCTATGTAAAGATGTACATGAATATTTATAGTTATTACCATCTTATTCTGTTTTGTACTATTATAAATCTGTCTTACAAATTTTATTTGCATTAAAAGATATGTGGACTGGGGAGGGTATTGTGATGTCCTGTGAAAGCAACCTTAAAAATCTAGAAAAGTGTCATCCTGAAGGGCTACCTTATTTGACAACCGTGCCATAATAATTATTTTTAACTGATTTACATAACCCTAAATGGTGTAAATCTGGAGGTGTAAATACTTGGAAGGTTTATCAAACTAGAGGGGTTCATTGGCATTTTCCTCTTCTTCCTATATTCATGGAGGTATCTATGGTCAGGGGAGGGTATAGCTCAGTGGTAGTATGCATGAGGTCCTGGGTTCAATCCGCAGTACTGCCATTTAAAAAAAATAAATTAAAAAGATAAATAAGTAAACCTGATAACTGACCCCCACCAGAAAGAAAAAGAAAGAAACTATGTTAGAAATAATTTTTCTAAATAGGAATTGGATAGTCTGTGTCCTTTGAATGTTCAATTAGAACAATTTCTATTCTGCACACAAACACACATACCCACACACAAGCACATACACAGGTGCACAGAAAAATTCTGCTAAAATAAACCTCCCCCAAATATTAATAGTGATGCTGGTGCTAGTTTTAGTTTCTTTTTAATAAGTCCCTCAAGTAATAAAACTGAGTAACTGTTTTTTTCCAAAAATGACCATTAATTCCAATTAAGTATACAATAAATTGATACTCAATTTTAAAATATTTTAAAGTCTTGAAAGCAAATCAGTTTGATGTGTGGGAATAGTAAGGCAATCAATGTGACCATTATAAGTAAAGCCTACCAATTTTTGAACATTCTTCTTAAAACAATAAGACCTTTTTACTGACAAGATTCTGTTCTGAATGGACATGTCAGGTGAGGGGCATCTGCAAACTAAATAAAATTTGGGCAAAGCAGACAGAACAGTGTTTCGTTCTCTTTCTCCTCCACTAAATAATCAACTGAAATATCACTTTGCATATAACCCTTGTAAAATGTCTCTGAACCCCAATATTAGTAAATGACATTCATATAAAATTTAAGTATTATTGTTCATCACAACGAATATTACTTTACTCATACATGTGTTTTCTTCTTTTGACAAACTCTTTATAAACGTAAATCCAAACCTATTGATTCCTTGGGAAAATTCCCTGCCCATGATGGCAGGGCTCAAACCTGAATTCACATTTCTGCTTCTAAATCCTTAAAAAGTAGAAGCCCATGTCACTCACTTACTGACACCAGTCAAACCACCTCTGATACTGCATTGCTTTAAACTGAGGTTCTGGAGAAGACGAATGAGGTGATTCCACCTAAATATTAATCTCAATAAAACAAAACTTAACTTTAGACTCCAGGATGAGTATTTCTTATTACTACAAAAAGTGAATGAGAGAGGGATTCACCTGCATGACCCCTCATTCACTGGAAAGGAAGGCCTAGAATAGGCCACTGGACATTTCAGGAAAATAAAAGCAAATGTTTCCATGTTTCAAAAACAAAAATGCACTTATGAACAAAGAGGAAATAGAAACTCACCTGATCTGTACTTTTAGATGTGCAACAACAATTTTTCTGTCCTCCTCAGGATCCTTCTTTTGGAGAATGGCAGGACTGGGGTAGAAGAAAATCATGAGACATCAGGCTTTTCTTGGGGCTCAGACAGACGGAGAATGCCCCTTCCAGAGCCCCATCGGTCCTGACCTCGCACATATAACCAGAGGGAAGAGGGAGGCTGGAACCCGCCTTTGAATTCACAGCAGATTCCGAGGGTCAGAGGTATGGGACTACTGAAGTTCTGAAAAATGTAGCAGCACCCACAGCGCTGCTAAGTAGGGAGCCCTGCCATCATTTCGTCCCAGGAGTCTGTCTTGGAGACACTTCTAGCTCTAAAAGTCCCACCCCAAGCCCAGGACTCTGCCTTCTTGCTGAGAACCTTCATTCTAGAGTTCAACATTTGACTTTCCTCTTGGGGACATAGCTCTGTGCAGACACTGGGACCTGAGATGGGAGGGAAGGGAAGGTAGTAGGAACGTGGGTTAGGGACACCACCACTGAGCCAAACACCAGCCTCAGACACACAACCGCGCCTACCATCAGGAGGCCTGCCTCGGTCCTGGCAAGCGTGGGCGCGCGCACAGCACACACACACTCTGACACACACACCCTGACACACTCCCTATCACACAATCCCCCTCCTCTGCTCCTCCTGCCCGCACAGGCCTGAGGCTCCGGGCACGATGCCCCCTGGGCTTCTCACTTTGGGTGGCAGCTCCATCCCATCCCTACCCGAGACGAGTACTGCTCCAGCTCACCTAGCACAGACTTCTTCCCAGGCTTCCACCAACTCCCGGGCGGGGGCTGAGCCACCCAGAACGCACGGTTGGGGGCCCTCAGGGTTCGAGACTAACACCGCCGGGGCTTCTGGGAAATGTAGTTCACGGCTGATGGGCTTGGGCTCCGAGGGCGCAGGCGCAGGCGCGCGCGGATCCGGATGCCGCCGTCTCCCACTGCTAGATCCGCGGACACGCGCAGTAAGGTAAGCTGAGAGAACTGGCCGCCGGGGGCTGTGTGGGCTGTGCCGCCTCGCCGGACCCCAGAGGGCTGGCCCGCGCAGTGCACCCATGGGTGCCACCGTGAGGCCGGGCGCGTGCGAAGTGTCTTCTGTCAGTTTCTTTCCCGAGGGAGTCCCTGCGCCTGGATTGCGGCGGGAGCTTTGCAGGTGTACTGTTGAGAACAGTGCGTGGCCCTCGGTCCCCGGCCTCGTGAGCGTGTGTGTATGTGTGATCGCTGCGGGACCGACCGCGCCTCTTTGTCCGAGAGTGAGTCGTGCTTCTGCGTGTGTGTAATTCTTTGGGTGCGAGACGGTGTGTGCCTGAAGCGGCGCCTGACTGGAGGGAGGCCAGAGAAAGTAGCCTGGGAATGTGATTCGTGACTGAGCAGTGAGGTGAGAGGCGCGGTGGGAGATTGTGGCTGTGCGGGACTGAGACCCGGGTGATTCGGGTGTGATGGGCGGCGTGTGCGGGGCGCTGTGTACTGGTTGAGCGGCCGGTTGCAAGCGAGGCCGTGTGAAGGTGGATCTGTGTGATCCTGAATGCGTGTGGGACATCACGGGTGCCAGTGGCCTCATGACTGGGTGTGTGTGCTATGTGTGATCGCGTGCAGCCATAGGCTTATCATGTGAGAATAGGTTGCATCTTCCTGCAGCTTCAGCTTTATTTCAAGATTTGGACCAAAGATTTCCAATCTGTCGAATAATTTTGCCTTTTTGTAGGAAATAAGATGAATTTTTTCATGGAGAAAAATGTAAATTATAGTAACTTTTTTAAAATATGAAGGAATCCTCTCCATTCTTCTGTGCTGTTAGGGGTCCCTGGCAGATAAATTTGAGAACCTTGAATGAAGAAATAGCTTTATGCTTGGGAAGGCAGTGTGCTGTAGGATAGTTAGGCCACAATTTAAGTCAGGTGATAACACATTTTGCTTTTCCTCTCCTTTTTTGAAGAATTCAGTCCTAAAGCCATAAGGTGGGCTCAGAGCAGAGTCTTGGAGCTTGAGCAGGATGAGGAAGGTGTTCATGCAGGGATGGCTTGGTGCAGGGTGACCAGCTTACTAGGGGGGCATTCCAAGTGGTGGAAAAGACTATCATGGTGTCAGCCTAACCAGGATAAGGAGGGTGTCCACACAGGAGGAAGGCTCTGAATGGTATTTCAGAGCCCAAGCAGGGTGAAGAGGGCTTCTAGGAATGGGTACTGTCCAGTATTGGGTGGTGGAACCTAAATGGGGGTGTTGGAAACATTCATGTTGGTTGAACAGGAGGCGATGAGTGTCAGAACCCAAGTAGGGTGAAAAAAGCATGGGGGCGGGGTGGCAGAGTGATTGGAGTCTGTTATACACGATGGGGGTGGAGGTGCTTATCAAGTTAGTAAATATATGAAGGGCAGCGGGAGCAGGCAGGCTTCTCCCTGTCAGCGGGAAAGTAGAGATATGGAAAAGGAGCGAACTAGAGTGACCTTTGTGATGGTAGGTTGAAACTAGCTGTAATGTATGAATTCACTATTGTCTATATGGATTGATATAAAAATAAAAATAAGCAGGTTCTGGTTCGCGGAGGTCACCAAGCTCACTTCTGCGGAGAACCCTGCTCTCCCTTTCAGGGCTCTGGGTTCCAGCATCTGCCTGGCCTGTTGTGTCCCTGCTTCAGCAGGAGGAGTCAGTGTGCTGAGCGTTCCACTGGAGCCCCCAATCCTATCACATAAGACAACATATATATCTTAAGATCCTGAAGAAACGGCAAAATGTCCAAGTAATATTTAGGGATAATTTGTGAGGAGAAGTAAAAAAAAAGTGCTGCAGTCATCATGGCATTGAGCACCATCTTCTGGCTGCTGCTTCTGCTTCTTCATCTTCCTTTCCCTATGAGGCTGACATGGAGGACGGTGTTTGAGTCTTCTGGGATGGCTGTGGTGTGGTCTGTGCCATCAAACATAGCTTCTGGTTTGTGCAGACAGTGGTGACATTTGTCATGTTGTTGTACTGGTACAGAGTCATTTTTGATCAACAGAGTCCTTTTTAACAAAGTAGCAGTACACAGATTGTAGTCTCATCTGAGATATGCTAACAGATTCTGGTTGTCCTCAAAGGAAATGTTACTGAAGAATATATGAAACCTGGAGAAACAATCGACATGTGTCCAGCTGTTGCTGTATCAAGCTGGGGTTCACTCACCATGGCAGTAACTGCAGAAGATGTATTCACACAATGGATCATCACTGCCTGTGGGCAAACAGTTGTGCAGGAATCTCCTTCTCAGTGGAAACCTACAGCCTGGTCTTTGGATGATGCTTACACAAGTGTTCTATTTATAATAAGTTGTTACATCATACATTTATATTTTGGGCACTTTTATGTGTATTATTTTTACAATTAAAAACAAATAAAAACATTTACATATATTTAAGTTTTTTCTTCCTCTTGTCTTTGCAGAGTGGAACAGAGAAAAGGGATACGTGTCTCCCTTGGCAGGGAAACACTTGCTTTAAAGACTCCACTTCCAAAATGTACTGGTGCCTGGGCTGTTCAGCTAACTGGCTTTACTTTTTCCCTCTTCACACAGTAGCATGTAATTGAGAACAGAAAAAAGCAGCCCCTGACATCCAGGAACTCATCTCACACTTACAGGTAGGCCTCACTGGTATTGAAAGCTGGCCTGGTGCTCACAGCTAGGCCATGTTATTCTCCAGTTGGACATAAACAGTCTCACAGAACACCAACATCAAAGTCACTCTGAGACCATAATGATGGGAGGCCACTTCATAATTTTGTCTAAGAACAGGCAAAAACAAGTTTGCTAGGCAACCCACAAAATATACCAAATACCCCCTCTCCCAGCTAATGTGAGTGGCTGCTACCTCTTGCCAGTTAGAGCTTTAGGCTCACTCTGGTCAGCTGTCATTTCTGGGGTACATGGTTCTGTTCTCTTCCCAGACTCTTTGCCCTTTATCGCTGATATTTAGGATGTGTTTTGTCACTTTAGCAATTTCCTTCCTTTACCCTCCTCCTTCCAAATACCAACTGACTTGCAAAATCCTTTTTTTCCTCCTATAGTTTTGTTGTTGTTTTTTTAAGTACCTAATTTGAAAGGTCAACTATGTATAAGGTATGTAACAAAAAACATTCCCGTGGCACCCTCACCCCGTAGTTCCCTGTCTAGTTCCAAGAGGCAATGACTTCCCATCCTCTCATTTCTTTAGAAATTTACTTCCATCTTTCTAAATTATATGCTTTTGTACACTCACCAGTTTTAGATATTAGCTGCTACTGAATGCAAAAGATGTCTCCTAACAGCCTGCTTTCCTCTCTTTTCTCTCATGCTGCTTGGTTTCCTCAGAAGGAATCCTTCAGTTGCCTGCCCAGGGCTCTCACTTCATCCCGTCTTCCGCATGGCAACCCCTCTCATCCATGCTCCAGGCCCTCCAGCCCAGACACTGCTGGCCCAGCCTTTCCAGAGTAAATCTGAGGTCTTCAGCCAGGTTGGAGAAAGGTCACAGGGCCTGGAGTAACAACCGCTCATTTGTTTCCTGCACAACTGATGTATTGTGAATCCTGGTTTTTATATAGCCTTTCAGGTAGTCCTCACCTTCAGAACCTGGCACCTCTGGTTTCTGAAAGGGACTGTATTTGTTTCTGGGCTTCCCTGTAGCTCAGGTTCACGCTTCCTCAGGTCTGCTACGTCAGTGAGCAGGTATCTGCCTCCTTCCAAAATTGTGTTGCTGCCATCTCCTCTCTCCTCCAGTGTCCTTGTGAATTTATACCTTACTCTGGTTTTAGTGAGGTTCCAGGAGGAAGGAAGAATTAACTTCTCTGCTCAACCTGCTTAACTACTGAGGAATCACCCCATCCCTTCAAGGACCTGCGATTCCCCAACTATTTTTCCTCATACCTTCTTCCCATCTCACACCCAAATATATAGTGACATTTATATATTTGTTCAAAGGACATGAACTGAATGCCTACCACGTGTAGGTGCTGGGCCTTGAATTGTGATCAAGCTACAATCCCTGATGACTCCACACAAGGTTCTAGTCTGGAGAAGGCAATCACTCGGGGACGTAAGAAATGCCAAGCAGAACGTGTGCACGATGCCAGGGCAGCACAGAAAGGTTACTTCCTGACTTGGCACCAGCGAAGGCTCCCCAGAGGGAGAAGTGTCTAACTGGAGATTTCAAGAGAACGTGAGAATTGGTCCAACCAAATGCGTCTGTGCCCCAACAAGATTATGGATAAGAGCAGACACATTCACAGAACCCCCAGGCATCAACCTCCCCCTCATCCCTGCTCTGGGAGACTCTGCAGGGCTGTCTGTCCTTGATACTCCCTCTGAGTGTGAAGAAGGCAGGAACTGCCCAGGACTCTTAATGGTCTTCTACCTGTAGGGAATGGGGTGGGGAGATGTACAGGGGCTTTATTTTATGGTCAGGGGTCGGAGTCTGTTCGTTTTCCACCCCTTTCCCCAAATTTGTGAAGTCAGTTAGCTCAAATTCTTTGCTTCTCTCTCAAGCTGTAACCCAGGCCATGTACGTCAACTGCTTATCTGCCAGGAGAACAGGACGGGCAGAGGATCCCAGGTTCTCCAAAGGAGTTAAACTTGTAAGAAGAAATTACGCAGATTCAGTCTTGTCTGTTTATTGAATAAATCAATCCTAGGTAAAGAGAAAAGAAAACTAGGTTTGAGGACAGAGGCTGGGGGTGAGCGAAGTCCTCGGCCCCTGTGGTGTGAGGGGAGGGGTCACTTGTAAAACTCATGCTCCTGTTCGTCCTTCTTGATGACCGTCTTGTATGCTTTCTCAAAGTCCTTGGCCAGAACAATGTAGCGGTTCTCACGGACAGCCAACATTCCACTCTGTTGAGGAATGAGAGTTAAAAGCTACTCCCTTCATTCTCCGCCCCTAGTGATGATGGAGGAAGACAGACTCAGCCCAAGACCCAGGGAGGGAAGGAGGGACAGAAGGATTGCAGCAGAGTGGTCTCAAGGAGGAAGGGTCTTCTCACACCCTCTGCCCCATCCAGAGAGAAAACATTACTCACCTCTTGACAAATGGAGTTAATATCAGCTCCTGAAATCTTATCTGGTCGGGCCACATCTGTGGCAAGTGAATTAAGGAAATCACTCCCTGCATCGGACGGGGTGAATGCCTGGAGCCAGAAGTCATCCTTGGGGTGTTTTTGTCACCACCACTCCTCCCTGGACTTTGGCCTCCCACCTGCACAATCTGGGTGGTGATGATGACAGAGGAGATGAAGATCCAATCCCCATTCCCAGCTGTGATCCTCCCCTCACTTCTAGAGCAGGATACAGTCTTCCAAGTCAACTTCCTCAGAAAGATTCATCTTGCTGGTGATAGTGGAGAAAATCAGTCTCTTCTGGCGGCGGTCAGGGAGTGGAAATTCAATTTTACGGTCAAGGCGTCCTGGCCGTAGCAGGGCAGGATCCAGGGTGTCTGCTCTGTTTGTGGCCATGATCACCTGGCATTGGGGGACAGGCCGGCTCAGACCTCTGTCCCCACTACACCCTCCATCCCATCGTGATACCTGCCTTCTCATCTGCCAGCCTCCACCTTTCCCTGATTTTCACACCACACCTCCCCTTGCCCATCCTGAACTCCAAACCTTGACATTGACATTCTGGTCAAATCCATCCATTTGATTCAGTAGCTCCAGCAGGATTCTCTGAACTTCCCTGTCAGCTGGTGAATGAGTAACATGGTCAGCCAGCAGCTCAGCAAGCTTGCCCAAGACCCCAGGCCCTGTTTGGGCATCACTCACCCCCAGTCTGGGCATCGAATCTCTTGGTGGCGATGGCATCAATCTCATCTATGAAGATGATGGCAGGCGCGTTCTCCTTGGCCAGGCGGAACACGTCCCGGACCATGCGGGGGCCCTCGCCCAGGTACTTCTGTACAAACTCCGAGCCCACGACCCGGATAAATGCAGCTGATGGCAGGATGACAGGGGTTACATGAGGACAGGTCTCCTGCAGGGCCTGGTGCTGCTTTAACAAAACAGAACTCCCCGAGGATGTCCCTTTCTTTGGACACCCACTCCAAAGAGCCAGGTCATTCTCTCAAGCCCTGGGCTGAGTCTTAGATCCAGTCAGGAGGACCAGCTCCCTCTTGTACCCCACAGCGACCCAGCAGCCCAAATAATAAATCCTGCCCACAATTATGTCATTTTTTTGCCCAGCATTTAAAAATCAGAATTTTTTTAAAATGTGTCTGTGCTCCAATATGCCTAAAACACTAGAGCTAGAGACATTCATGGAATCCAACATACAAAAAAAAGATTTCCAGAGTGCTTGAAAAATCAGTAAGAAACAGATTTTCCATACTCTAAAGCATCTTGCCTCACCAAGAGCTCAGTTCCATTTGCTGTAAGGACCCACTTTTGAATATCATGCAAGAGTCAAGTACACAAGTACTTATTCGGACATAATCAACAAGTGGCAGTGGGGTTGAAGACAAGTTTGTTCTGAGCCTGCCTCTCCATTCTAATTCTTCTTAGATTTTAGCTTGTTTGTTAGTGACTGGATGTAGTTTTATGTCACAGGGAGCAACCTCCAGGACCCTCCTTCCAGCTACCATAGAGAAGGGATGCACAAAGTCCACTATGTAGACCTGGTGGTTTTATGTCATAAACTAGGAGTTGTGCAAGTCACAGCCCTGCCCATCTCTAATATGGTGATCACTGGCCACATGTGGCTACTGAGCAACCAAAATGTGGCTGATCCAAAGTGAGATGTGCTATGAATGTGAAATATACACCAGATTTCAAAAGTCTTAGGACCAAAAAAGTAATATATCTCAATAATTGTCCATCAGCAAATGAATGGGGTAGATAAAATGTGCTGTATACACACAGTGGAATATTATTTGGCCTTCAAAAGGAAGTAAATTCTGACACATGCTACGACATGGATGAGCCCTGAAGACACTATGCTAAGTGAAACAAGCCAGTCACAAAAAGACAAATACTGTATGATTCATCCACGTATATGGTACCCAGAACAGGCAAATTCATGGACGGAAAGTAGAAGAGATGTCGTCAAGGACTGCAGGGAGGGAGAAACGGAGTTAGTTTAATGGGTATGGGATTTCAGTTTGGGATGATGAACAAGTTCTGGAAATGGATGCAGGTGATGGTTGCACAACATTGTGAATATACTTGATGCCACTTATAAATGTTTATAAGTTGGTTAAAATGGTAAATTTCATGTTATATATATTTTACTGCAATAAAAAATTATAGGATGTAGAGTAGATAAACAAGATTATACTGTATAGCACAGGTAAATACAAGATCTTATGGTAACTCACAGCGAAAAAAATGTGACAATGGATATATATATGTTCATGTATAACTGAAAAATTGTGCTCTACACTGGAATTTGACACAACAT